GCCGTACCAAAAACCAGGCTGAAGCTCAGAGGAGATCGAGCATTTTCAGTCGTGGGCCCTAAACTTTGGAACAATCTGCCCATCCACATTCGACAGGCCACCTCAGGCTCTGCTTTTAAAGCTCTCCTAAAAACTCACCTATACTCATTGACATTTAACACAGGGTGATCAGCTGTTTATGCTTTTGTTATTATTCCTATTTAACACAAGGTCATCAGATCTGATTTAGTATTTCATTGTTTCTGACTGAGTTTATGCTTTTTGTTATTATTTCCTTGACTTTTAACACAACGTGATCTGATTTAGTATTTAAGTGTTTCTAATTGTTTTTGGTTTTATATTTTTATTCCATGTGCTGTAAATATATCTTACTACTTTTTATTTGATGTTGTGATATTTTTGTTAAGCACTTTGGTAACAGTTTCTGTTTTAAATGTGCTCTATAAATAAATCTGACTTGACTTGATGTGTGTGCATATATATATATATATATATATATATGTGTGTGTGTGTGTGTGTGTGTGTGTGTGTGTGTGTGTGTGTGTGTGTGTGTGTGTGTGTGTGTGTGTGTATATATATATCAGAGTCAGAGATTCTTTATTGTCATTCGCACCTCATGTGGTACATGTGGTGGAGCGAAATTATGTACACAGGGTCCCAGTTACATCCAACAATAAAATGTATAAGAAAAACAATAATAACATCTAACATATGAACTAAGAAAAACATCAACTAAATATACACTAAGCACTCATAACATAAAACATTGAACATCAGCACAAACATGAACATGAGTCTGTGTGAGCGGATGTGTTCAGGGGGGTAGGCATGTTGGTTCAATCTGAAGTCCACAACTATCTCCTTCGTCTTCTTCACATTGATGTGAAGGTTATCGTCTTTGCACCAGCTCTCAAGGTGTTCCACCTCTTGCCTGTAGCTGGACTCATTGTTGTTTGTGATACATCCCACCACTGCTGTATTATCTGCAAACTTTACAAAATGACAGCCTGGATGGGTAGTGCAGCCCAAAGACCCCGATGATGACACAAATAAATGGACCTAGTGTTCCCTTGCCCAGACGTGGGTCACCGGGGCCCCACTCTGGAGCCAGGCCTGGAGGTGGGGCACGTGGGCGAGCGCCTGGTGGCCGGGCTTTTACCCATGGAGCTCGGCCGGGCACAGACCGAAGAGGAGACGTGGATCCCCCTTCCCATGGGCTCACCACCTGTGGGAGGGGCCAAAGGGGTC